TGAGAGCTGGGTGCCAGAAATCATTTTCCTCCTCTCCATGACTTGCTGCCCCTTTCTCTGATTTTTTTAGGATTGCACAAAGTCTTTTCTGTGCTGCTGCTCATCTTCCCTGGCACTTTCCCTTGTGGTGTATCCCAGTGCGTCTCCACTGTGGCCTTTTTCTTCTCGCAGCAGTTTGTCTCAAAACCCTGCCCACCCCCTGGGTTTCTGCTGCTTTATTGCTCTCTGCGGGGCTTCTTGGACCACTTCATCAGTGGCACCGGTTATTGTTCACTTCAAGCCTTCTAAAGATTCATTCATGCTCTTCCCGCTGCCATAACTTTTCAGTTAATACAGAGCAAGAATTGACACCATGTTTCTTCAGACTTCATTATCTCTTACCGCAGAAAATGTGCAAGCCTGGCGAGAAGAACTCAAGCTAAGTGAAATCTGAGGTGCCACCTCTGGAGGCTGCTGCTTCAGGAGCAGTTTGTGGCCGGTGATGGATCTTCGTCTCCTGTGATTAGGCTTTTAGCCATCACCCGGCTTAAGACAGTTGGAGTGAGTCAAGGATGAGGCATACCTCTTAAATTTTAAGTTATTTATGGCAAACTTTACCATCACTATATAAACAAAGCTGAGGCTGTCGCTGGTGCTTGACAAATAGCTCTAAAACTCGCCATGTATAGGGTGGGGTAGCCAAAGTGATGGGTTTTATGCAGCAAACCAGGAGAACAATTTCCTAAATAACAGAGCTGTGAAATAGCTTGAGTTTACAGACGGGAGCTTCACTGTTTATGTAAAGCGATGGAGAGCACAGCCCTTTCTCTCCAAGAGCAGAAAAGGCCCATTCTGATCTTGTTAGGAGCTTGTTAGGCCATTAGTGCATTTTTAGTGAATATTGCTCCTTTGCACTTCTTGCCACACTGCAGAGTGGTTTTTCTCAAAAGTAATTTATGTGTTTAAATCTTGTTCCTCATCTCCTTGCAGTAGATTATTTGGGTTTTCCCTGCCTGGGTCATGGAGAGCTGTTAATTTGCCTTCTGATGTACTGCAGGGCCGTGCCGTGCACCATCTGGGCTATTCAGACCCATTTGTGATTTCAAGAATCCCAATGTATTCTTGACTACAGTTTACATTTTAACTCTGGTATTTTATGTAAATGCATGTGAATTATGAAGCCATCATTTGTCACCTTAGTACTGCTTGATGCTGTTTGCAGCTACTGGCTAATATTGTTTTAATCTATTGTTTAATATGAACATAAAGAAGCTCTGACAGCCGTGGAGAAATTATGTCAGGAAATGTGGGCATCCTAGAAGAGGAGGTCCAACCTTTTGGACATGGCTAGGGAAAAAATAGGCCTGTTGAGGCTATGGATAATGGGGGAGCTTCTGGGAGGAGGGGGTGGATTTGAAATGACTTTTTGTGTGGTCTTTCATCTGGAGTAATTTAGGGTAATTGCTGCTCTGAAATGGAAGTTAAGAAAGCCCTTAAAGTGCACATGACATCTGCCAAGTAGGTTGGTAGCACCAGAACATGCTGCCTCTCCCATGAGCAAAACTGAAGCCTATCTTTTTTCGTAAAATAATAAGAAGCCAAGAAAATAAAATCCTAGTAATTGATCGTTAGAGCTAAAATCCTGGGGCCAAACTCACTTTGAATGTGCTGTTCACCACCAGTTTCCCTGCTTTCCGCTCCAGCTAAACTTCCTTCGTTCACTTACAAAGCGGTTC